AGAGCTTCAGAAACTGATGAATTTGAGCCACCGGCCAAACGAGCTGATCGCTTGGTATGTTTGCTGGCCTGTATATTTTCAGTGCAAAGGGGGAAAGAACTCATCCGTCCAGAAGTAGCTATATTTGTCTTCGAATCGCTCGCTTCAGGGGCCGCGGCATCAGTTTTAAACTTACGTTTAAGCGCGCCCGCACTTGATAAACTTGCCAAGAGGGAAAGGCTGATTGGAAAAAACGTGGGCATATTTTGCTCGCGAATCATTTGTAAACAAGGTTCCATCATAAAAAAACTCGCTGCCCGAAATCGCTCGCTTGAAAAATGTATGCGAAACAAGAAATATGCGAAGGGAATTTTAGTTGCGTTATGCCCAGCCATCATCGCATCTTCAACCTCACGTATTCTCCTAACCTTCTGACGTGTTCTTTCTTTTTATCACGGAAGATGATTGTAAATGTTAGACTAAATAGCACAACACTCACATTCGGATTTTGCTGATTACCCGGTTACTCGGTACGTTTGTTGATCCGTATATTGATTATATTGTTTACTTACTTTCTGAAAAGACATTTGATGATCTCTGGTCACAATCTGATAATTATAAAAAATTATGAAAAGATGGAATGAGCAATAGCGAAATTTTTAGCCAATCAAACTGGAGAATGACGATGGTGCACAGCTGGTCCAGGAATTACTGGAGGTAAAATGCTCACAAAATGATTCAGGAACTTCTCGCAAATCAAACTGCCAGGTATACTTCACTGCATTTTTTTTTCTTGCATTTTAGGTCAAATTTTTGCGAAAAAACTTTTCGCGAGTCTTGTCGCCCAAAAATTGTTATAACCTTGCCAGATGTTCCTGCCGGGGAACATCATTGACCTGAATCGTTCAGGAGGCGAAGCGAAAGTCAGGGTCGCCAGCAAGCTAACCACTAGGCGATGCGGTACTGGTCATGGCAACTGGAAAAATTACCACCTTTTTTAAGGTATTTAAGTGGGACAGGACAGTGAGAGAAATGTTGTTCTGTTTTTGTCTTCTTGGTTTGCGAGTTCTGTTTTCTGAGAGGACATTGCTCAAATTTGGATAATTTGGGTTATGGGAGACCCAAAATAGGGTATGAATGCGTCAATGATAAGAAACGCAATGATGCAAGAACAGCGGGTCAAAGCGAAAGTACCAAGAGATAATCCAAGCACGTTTGTTCCATTTTTACTTGAGAAGAATCAGACCGAAACATTTAGGCGATGGTTTTTAGGTATGTGACATGGTGGTTTGTAAAACAGCACGTCAACGACATGTTTATCAGTTCCATCTTGGCATTTCAAATCTTTTTCAATGCTCTGCTTGCGAATACACCAACAATAACTCAATATGGGAGATGCGTAAACACTGCACCGCAATACACCAGGGCAATGCCCAAGCAATTAGCACAGAAGAAATCCACAAAAATGAAATTCAGGTTCTTTTATTATTACTGTTATTGCTATTGTTATAGCTGTTATTAATCTCATTATTATCACTACCGTATTATCATTATTATCATTGTTACAGCTAACACAATTATTATTTCTGCTGTTATTATTAATGCTACTAATGTGATGATTTTCATGATGTTTTTTTTTGTGTAATTTTGTTAAAATAGCACATTCAGGGATAACATGTCCGTGTGAATGTGTATTTGGATAATTTACGTCAGAGTTGCAAAGCTGAGAAATTTCGGGAGGATTATCTTTGACAATATATTTGCTTATAACCAAAACTCAGTTTGCGTCCTTTATTTTGTCCCGACTCCAATTTCAGCTTCAGATTGTGAGCTGATTTCCTAGTTGAAGAACGAGCAAACAAGTAAACTAAAAAACATTTACCCCTACTATAATTTAATCTCTGATCCTCGATCCAAGTTTGAGCTAACCGTAAATTTCGGAATAGAGGTACAAATCTAAATTTTTCGGATTCTGATTCAGGGTAAGCCCAATCTAAATAACCCGGGTTTGGCT